CCCCCCACCCACACGCACACACTCACACACACACACACACACACACACACACACACACACACACACACACACACACACACACACACACACACAAACACGTGTGCGTGTATGCAGGGGTGTTGTGGAAGCGTTTGAGCAAGGGGTGGTCACACAATCATCGCTCCTGGTGAACGGGATGGCAAGCCGAGAGGCGGCACGAATGGCAAACGCCGTCGATCTTCCTCTCGGCTTGCACTTCAACCTCACGGAAGGGGTGCCACTCGCGCACACCGGTCAGCGGGCCATACGTGCACGGAGTCCATCAGTGCCCCCAGCACATGCACCACCTCCACCTCCCAGGCCGCTGGCTCAGGCCCTGGGTGGGCAGCTGCTGTTGGCCTCCTCCTCTTCCTCTTCCTCTTCCTCCCTCTCATCCACGGGCTCCACATCACCGCCTCCTTCACCATCAACGTCGTCATCAGTGTCGTCCTCTGCATCAGCGCCATTGGCACCACCGCCGGCGGCGATCGCACCCGAGTCCGCTCCAACCACGTCCCCCTCGTCTCCTTCCAGACCAGCAACTCACATGCCCCGCTCTGTCGTGCACTCGGCGTCCACGCCGTCACGGCGCCCAGCAAGCGCCCCTGACATTGAGTCGTGGCGCTCGCACATGCAGCGGCGGCAGCAGCCCACGCGCGCAGCCCATGTTGGCGGTGATGGCATGTTTCATGGCAAGCACGGTGCGTTCGAGTGCGCAGCGTGCTGGCATACGCAGGAGGTTGCAAGTGAGCTTCGTGCGCAGCTGGAGGCGTTCCAAGCCATGACTGGCCGCCCCTGCCGCCACCTTGACGCACACAACCACATCTTCATCCTGCCACAAGTCTACACCGCCATCGCCCAGTACTCCCCGACGCACCTGCGGTCTGTGCGCGCGCCCAGCTTCCACCGGCATCATGACCACGCTTCCACCACACTCTCGCCGTTTCTGCAGCGGGTGGTTCGCTGTGCCACCAAGGTACGCCCTTCGTGCTCGATCAGTGCAGCATTCGCATTGCTTGTCATGCTGACTCATGCGCTGGCAACGCCCAACCTCACCGTCATCTACACCAATGTATGCATGTGTGTCTGTGTGTGTCTGTGTGTGTGCATGTGTGTGTGTGTCTGTGTGTCTGTGTGTCTGTGTGTCTGTGTGTCTGTGTGTCTGTGTGTCTGTGTGTGTGTGCAGACTCGTGCCGCGTTTGATGCCAGCGGTCTGCGCATGACGGATGCTTTCGTTGGCCTTGACTACGACCGGCCCTCTCTCACTGCTGACGACATCCTGCGAGACATGCGCGCCCTCATTGCGCAAGGTGCCCATGCGTGCGTGCGTGCGTGCGTTGTGGGTATACAAGCATGTCCAGCGCTTGTTGTGCCAACGCATGTATTGACGGCGACGCTGACGTGCTTCGTCACCAATGTCCTCTGTGCCATCACCACCTTCTTCTGTGCACGTGTGCATGTTTGTGTTGATCAGGCATGCGCACATGCGAGCTCATGGCCCACCCCGGGTATCCTGCCATTCCGCCTGTTGGCGGGTGCGGCAACGTAAGACAACACAAATCACGCGAGGCTGCCCACACCAAACGCTTCAACATCACCACCAATGTTCACAGGAACCCATCACCAAACCTGCTCTGTGAAACTTGCCACTCACAAGCCGCAACATCCGCCCTATCAAATTGCATCGCCTGAACCGCCGTGCACCTGCTCTCCTTGAGCGCCTCACCTCACAATCTCATTTGACATCCCCACCACACCATCACAATGCCGCCACTGCAAACAATCACCAATGTGTGGGCAGGCTGGCCCCGATGCGTTCTCGCAATGCAACAACCGCGTGGTTGAGCTGCGTGTGCTCACTGATCCCGCGCTGAAGCGTGGACTGCAAGAGCTGGACATTGAGCTCATCTCCTTTCATGACCTCTAGCCGCAAAGCCACAGGTGTCGTTGATGCGGCAGAGGCACGTGGTGCGGCATTGCGTGCATGCAGGCATGCACACGAACGGCTGAGCTGTTAGTCGTCACAGGGCCGTCAATAGGAGTTGAGGACAGGGTTGAGGGTGTATATTGGCTTTGTACAGGACGTTTGAGATAAACGAACGAACCCAAGCAAGAAGAAACAACCGCATCTCAATCAAGCACAAAGCAAGGGGTGTTTGAGGCACAGCAGATGCACGTTGACACACATGCGGGGCGGACAGACATAGACGGATGGACGGCCACACGCAGATGGACGGATGCGCAGACAGGCCACACACACACACACACACACACACACACACACACATACGTGAAGAGCCATATGCATGACGACAGGCGAGAAGGTCATGGTGAAAGGAATGTAACAAAGGCGATAGAAACGATGAGTCAACGGAGAGACGCGAGAGGACTGTCGAGAAGGGAACGCGGAACAAGGAGCGAGGCTTGCTTCTGGGGGAAAGCGCATGTGCACGCGCGTGTTCGTAGGTGTGTTGTTGTGCGCTCAGACGGGAGTTGCTGAGCGGAGCAGCCAGGCCACCACGATGGCAACAACGCCGCCAACGCACAAGTGGAAAATGGACGACTGGCACAAACAGCACATGACGTGGAAGATGAGGGCACGCAAGGAGCAGCGGCAAGCAGCAAGCAGCAGCCAGCACTACTAATGTGGTCATCAGATGGACATACACACGACGATCACCACCCACGCAGAGACGAACCGCACAGCAGAAGCAGAGGAAGTCTGGCGAGCAACGCCCTCACAATGAAACAAACAGGAGTGCACAGGAAATGGAAAGCAGGAGCAGCAGCAGCACACACCTTTGATGTCAAGGACCACTGCTGTGCTTGCAGCTTCTGCTTTGCTGTCTTCTCGGCGGAGAGCGCCTCCTTCAATTGCGCAATGGTACGCTCCTGCGTCTTTCCAAGTTCGCTCGCTTGCGTCACTTCCTGTGTTGCCTTCTTCAGCAGCGTCTCTGTCCGCTTCACTTTGGCATCCAGCGCCTTCATCGAGTCCTGCGCGCGCGTGTGTGTTCAGTGTGTGTGTGTGTTTGGTGTGTGTGTGTGTGTTTGGTGTGTGCGTGTGCGTGTGCGTGGTTGATGTTTTATGCGTACGCGCACATGCATGTGTGTGTGTTCCGAGTCGTGCATGCATCATTAGGCTTGTGCAGCCATACCTTGTGCTTCTTGAGCTCGTCCTTCTTGTTGGCAATTTCCACCTCCTTCTTCTTTCGCTTCTCCTACACGAATCACATGCGCGCAGATGAGCACATGCCAGCATGTTTGAATCACACGAGATTCCCAACACAGCTTCGCAAGGAACATGGCCAGCAAGCAACAGCTATGATGCCCGCACCTCCTCTGTTGCGGCGCGTTTCGAAGCGCCGCGCAGGTCTTTCTTCGCCTCATCCTGCACACACACAGAACCAACGGGGAAGCAAGACCAGGGCACAGGGGAACGGAACAGACGACGTCAGCGCCGATATGAGCTGACGGGCAGTGCAAATGCACACATACATACATATGCACCCACATACACACACAGACACACAGACACACACACAGAGACACACAGACACAGACACACACAAAGCGTACCAACTGCTTCTGGAGTTGTCGAATTCTATCCTCGAGCTCCTTGACTTCCACTTTGATGAGATCTGCACGACGAACAGCATGGTGTCATCACGTGCATAACGAAAAACGTCACACAGGACACAGGTAGGCACGTCCATTGTTCACACACACACACACACACACACACACACACACACACACACACACACACACACACACACACACGCACGCACACACGTGCAACTCCCTTCTTCCTTCTTTTCGCCTCCGAGCGAACCTGATTGGACGCCCGTGCTCCTCGTCTCAACAGCCGCGCGCACGTCCTCCTGCTGTTGCGATTTCTGTTGCTGCTGTTCTTCGCGTTTGCCTTCATCAGCAGCGGAGCTCGAGGAAGCGGGCACATTCTTGTCCTGCACTGCGTCGTGCGGGCTGCTCTCCTTTGCCACCTTCTCGTCGTGTCTCCTATTGCCCGTTGCCGTTGCGTGTTGCTCCTCCTCGTCCTCCCCTGCGTGCGCTTCCTCCTCTTCCTCATCTTCCACGTCCTCAAACTCATCCTCCCGTTGCTCCTTTCCCTCCTCCTCCTCTTCTTCTTCTGCACGCTTCTCGTCGTCGGTCTCTTGCTTCCTCACCGTCCCCTTCTCTTCCTCCCCATTCTCGTTCACACGTGTCTGCGCGAGCAGCGCCCCCGGTGTCGCTCGCTGCAGCCGCTCCAGCTTCGTCACCACCTGCACCACCAGAAAAAGGCGAGGTGGTGGTGGGGGGGGAGCATGTGTAAGCAAGGGGGATTAACGCCTTCAACAGCACGGCCATGTGTGTGTGTGTGTGCGTGTGTGTGAGAGACGTGAAAAGTGCCAGTGTAGTATGTGCGCATCTTGCCTGTTTGAATTTGATTTTTGAGCTGTTCCTGCTTTCTGCTGAACTGTCTGCATTTTTTGCTCATGGTCGGATCGCAGGAATGCGCTGCTGCGCCTGGTCACACACACAC